CAATCCTAAACACAGGTCGTTTTTACCCGTTTGCTTTCATCTTTAAGGTATGGATTGTGAAATTTCAAGCCCCCACTGCTGTTTAGAGCGCTTCATATCCATCCTTAACTGTATTTCTGTGGTATGACCATTGCTGTAACCCATTAGTCAAAATAAATTGTCTAAGGTTTTGCAGCACAAAACTTTTTTAATCTAATTTTGTGGGGGGCTTTTTGAATTTAATTTTAAACTGAACACTTATCCGAATTTAGTGCACTTGTGCATTTCTATAGGAGCTATATTTCACTTTTTACAGCACAGTGTGACTGAGCTTGACCTATAACATTCGTCTCAAGAATAAATATTGAGAAATAAAAATTACATTTCAGCCTTTCACCTCTTCAGCCATTTAGTATTCTAACGACAAGGACCCCCCTCAGTTCATGAATTACTGTTTGCAGAAGCACGATGACAAAATAATTTAGTCACTGTTTTCCTTTTAATCAGTCAATCTATTCTTAATAGGGGACTATCAACAAGCAGTGTGCCTTATGAAATTCAATTCGAAAACAAAGACGTTCCCATGACAGGTCCGTGTAAACACCGCCATTTCCACATTGGGAGCAAGCTTGGTGTTCTAGACCAGCGGTTACCTGAGTGAAGGGCACGGCGGCGCAGCTCTGCTTGGAGGGCTCCTTCAGGTTCACAGGCAGCGCCAAAGTCTCCTTCGCGCTGTCGCCCTTCTCGATGGCCGCTCTCCACATGAGGAGACCCTGCTTCTTCCTGTTGTCCGCTTCCGCGCTGACGTCGGCGCGGGGCCGGGGACCCGGCAGAGCGCCCGGGCCGGGGGGGACAGCGGGCCCCGGCCGGCCCAGCGCCAGGAACGGAGGCAAGGCGCCCCTGGCGTGGGACCCCCTGCGGAAGAACTCCGACTGCCGGAGGAACTGGGGACTAACCTTCACCACTCTAACGGTCCCGCGAACGGCCCCCTCTAAGCCCGGGCCGTTTCCCGACGACTCCTGTTCCCTCTCCCGGGCCAGGAGGCTTTCCAGCGCGTTCGGGGGGAACCCGCCGGCCGCAGCGATCAGGGAGGCGCAGAGCAGAAAGTCAGCGAAGCCAACCATGTCTGTCTTATTATATTTCCCGCGTATTCTCCGGTTCACCCTGTCTTTACACAAATAGATTCTCTTTTTAAAGCGTAGGAAACGCTAAACCGTTTTTTTTTAAAATATTAAATAAAAAGCTTTAGGTTATATATGCTCTAAGATGTACGGGTTCAAGGTTACGTCAGGAGGTAACCCTGCTGTCAGCTCTGGCAGAGACGCGGCCCAAGGCGTTTATATACAGTCCCGGTCAGGAACTTCACCTGACTTGTCATCCGGGGTGTCGATTTTCCCATCCTTACAGCTCAGGCGGTAGCAGGGACTTCACAGATGACACCTGCTTAACAGGTAGACATGAAGCCGATCAAAAGATTTTATATTTTAAAGCCCTTCTTTATGAGTGTTGGTTTTTTTTTTATGGGAGACAGGTTTGTTAAGCGCCTGGTCTCTGACAGCTAGATCACAGTGGATATTGTACCGAAAACGTTGTCCAAACGATACGGGTATTTTGCGTGGCAGCTGTACATTTTTGACATTTCTTGCCCTGTATTAGGCTTGGCAGTTGTCTCAGATTTCACTGTGCTTACTAACGGTTGAAACCCGGTTTCAGCGCGTCAGAACACGACTTTAATATCGATGCGATAGATCATAACTGAAATAATCTGTGCTGAGTCGTAAATTAGATTTCCCTCTGTGCCATTTCAGGCCTTCGCTATGATGAGTGATTCTTGCTGAACAAGAATTGTAAATGAACGTCGAAATCGCAAGGAAGCGACATCTTATTTTGAGTAATATAAGAAACACACTGAAATACCTGGAAAAATTGTAATCATGATCAGTTTAGTTTACAGAGAAGCGAAACGGACGATAACGGAACGCGTTGTTGTCATTAGTCACAAAAAGAATGATTTTTTATGCTAAAAGTTAAAACAAATAAGCCAGGAAATTGTAAAAAAAAAAAAGACCAGGCGCGAAATTTAAAATAACCTGGAGATGAAGTCAGTCCTAACGACTGATGGTGACGCTTGTACCAGTACGACATGACAGATCAACGGCAATTATTTGATCGCTAAACTGCCTGAGAAATACGAATGTCACAGTTTTCTTTCATGAGACGATTTTCAATCTGCTTTTCCTGTTTTCTGAGGCTGCAGGACAAGTTTAAAGACCCAAATCGAAGGCGAGGGAGATGGGAGAGAGAGAGAAAAATGACATTTTTTCCTCCTACTGAAATAGACCGAGTTCATTTGGAGACAGAATAACGTACAGCGCAAAGGAGGAAAGGAGAGGCCTGAGAGAGTGAAGAGGACAATGACAATTTTAAATCTTAATTTGAACATTTCCTGTTTTCTTAAATGACTCAAACAAGACTTAGGTCTCCTTGTTTCGAAACTGAAAGCTACAGAAAAGAGAGAGAATGTGTGAAACGAGAGAATTCAGGATCCCCACATACACAAGTAGCTACAGCAGGTGTCTCAAACTCCCTTCCTGGAGATCACAGTTATCTTCTAGGTTTTCAGCTTGAAGGCTCAATAAAACAGTCCTCCAAATTCCTTAGTCAGGACTTTCCTTAAGTTTTAGAGTTGATGACTTAAAACGACATTCACCTGTCTTCATTACGATTAAAACACCTCGGAGCCAGGTTAGAAGAATTGGAGTTCTGTAGTTAGTTAATTAGATTGGCTGGGTAACAGCTCTCAGTCGGAATAAACCTCATAAGACGGTGGGCCTGAGAGAAAATGAGTTTGATATCTCTGCCCTAGAGTTGTTTTTGTTTATTTTCTAATCGCAGAGTTTGGATTTCCTTTGTTTAAAAACATGATAGTAATGTTAGGGTGATGTTTTTTTTTATCTGAAATGTGCATTAGATACAAGAACTGACAGTGGGTGGGAAGCTCATCACTTCTCAAACTTTCTCTCAACTAGCTGTGTGCAGTGCACTGATTTAACACAGAAATAACATTTTTCACTTCAGCCCAATTTGGC